GGCCCCCACAGATACAGCCAAGAGGGCCCTTGGCTTCATGCAGGATGGAAATCACATGGCAGCCAGGAGGAAGTGAGGGCAGAGCCTACTGAATAATCTAAGTGACAGAGTGTAGTAGGCAGAGCATCTGGGAGACCCGGACAGAAGGGGGTCTCCCATCACTTGGGATTAGGGTAAGGGGTTAGGAAAGGGGTCCAGGGTAAACATTCTTTCAGGAATCCAGGGTGAGGTCCGATTGAAAGCGAGTGACAGGTGAATGACAGGTGTTATAACGTAAATCACCGAAGGTAGGGGGTATTGATGCCAGTTCAGCGGAGTTCGAAGACCCAGTGCCGGAACAGCCTTGGGGGCTGGGTCTCCTACATGTTATCAGGTGCCGGGGGCCTAGGACGAAATGCAGAAAACGATGAACTTTCTTGCCTCCTGCCTTGGGGCGGGAGCATAACTTCTCTGGTTTACTCAGATACAAGGTGAAATTCGGAGTATGAATAAATGGGGCCTTGTGGAAAAACAGCAGAGACGGAGCCTTTCTAAAGTGGAGTCTGTTCAGCTTCTCTACCTTACTCTTACTAAAAACTAAATGTACTAAAAACATTACAATTTAACTGAGCACCCTGCATTTTATCTGGAACTCTGCATGCAGTGAGTATTTGCAGTGTGGAGATCTGTCTCAGGACAAAAATGCAGAAGAATCAGAAAAAACTCAAGGCTTCTGTCATGTCTACTCAAGGCAGATATAACCAACCCGTATTGCTTGATTTCAAACGTTTTTAAGAGTGTGCTAACTGTACACAGAGTGACTTCTTGGTAACTAACGAGGGTCCTGTTACAGAGAAGGCGTATTCCTCCTCTTTAAGGCTTGTATCCACAGTTTTTACAGGGAAGGTTTTGCCTTGACCTTCTCAGTCTGTAGCTAATTTCTTTATAGGAAATAAGTTTTTATCGCTGAGACTCAGAGCTGTAATTTTATCATTCACTTAGTGGTTAGATTTTCAAGTCAGGAGGAGGGCTGCCTGTCTATTTCAGGTACTCAACCTCGCTTGGAGTGAAACCTTTTTTCAAGAGGAAAGGCTTGCTTTCCCCACTCCTCCCATTCATTGGGGTTTAGCAGGTGAAGCTTTCTCTGTGGTACAAGCATTTCTGGTCAGCTGTGATGTTAACTAAGGGAGACTTGTGCACCAACCAGATGTGTGGATTGCTTGTTGGTTTTTGCAGAAAGACAAAAGAAGTTTGGTATTTGTAGTCATTAGCTTGTGTAAAAGTCCTTCCAAACACACCCACACAAACTTCTCAGTTAATGAGTACCATGCCAACTTTCCTGTTGTGTTTCACAGGTGGAATTTTCATTGGTGTAGGTCTTAGAGAGGTCTGAAGTAGAAATATCTGAACATTATACAATGTGTCCCTGTGGAAATCACATTTCATTTGAATTCCACAGGAGAAAAGAGGTGACCAAGGTCCTATTTTATTTCTGTTTATAAATGTTTAACTTCCAGAGGATATCAATCTGTGTTGAACATGTTTCCATGGGACATAAAACGTATAAACCTAGACCAAAATTAGATTTTGGGGAGGGGGGGGAATGGAGAGTTATTGTTTTGTGGGTAGGAAGCTGCAGTCTGGGAAGATGAGGAAGTTCTGGGGATGACTGGGCGTGGTGGGCACACAACACTGCAGACGCAGTAATGCCCCACAACGTACATTTGAACGTGGCCGAAACAGCAAGTGTTCTGTCTATATATTTTACCACAATAAAAAATTAGACCAGAATATAAAAAAGTTAAATTTTTAAATATTCCAGTTAAAATGAAACATTTCTGGGGCAGCTCCCCAGGCTACCCTTTTAGGCAGAAAGCATCACCTTAAATGTAGTAAGAGTCATCTTTCATGTTCAGTGATGCTATTGGATCACAGATTGAGATCATCATAAAAACACCTTGCCTATGGGTCCTTGCAACAGTTGGGAATTATTAATTGGAGAGCACCGGCTGACCTTAATTATCACTCAATACATAATCTTTAATTAATACAACTTCACACTAAGTACTTAGTTTTCCAAGGAACACGCTGCTGTGATTGCCTCCAACTAGGGCAGTTCATTGTGCAGCAAGTGACTACATCACTAGGTGGAAGGCACACTTGTGGACTTGCCGACTGCTGAGGACCTCAATGATGCTGGTTGTTTACATTTATGTTTATGAACAAATATGGATAAGAACACCCGTGTATAAATGGGAGTGTAGAACGTCTTAAGTAAACTTTTAATCTTATTAGCTCTATTAATTAACCCATTGATCTGTCTGAGCCAGTTGGTGAGTACGGAGGAAACAAAAAGCTCTTTCTTCTTAAAATGTTCCCTCCCGGTCCTGAATAACATGTCGGTTTCCCACGGTCACTCACGACTAAAGAGAGGTCATGATTTTGCACAGGCTGAAGCCCAAGGCCACGTGGTGGGTGGGAGGGAGCTCAGCAGCACATGGGCAGGTGGTGGTCTCCCAGGGGTACCTCCACACCAGAAAAATCGGGGAGCCCATTGGGAGGGAGAGGATCAACAGTCCTGTCTCTGGGACCACTGAATTCTATCCAGGTGGGCTCTCCACCCCCCTCCCCCTGTGTGTGACAAGGAATTTGGAATATACCATTTCCCGTCTCCCTCCAGATTTATATGCTGATTGTAGCCTTTGTCCCACCTGCCAGCCTTATGGTAACTGGGGCAGTTTTCCTGATGGGACCAGGCAACAGTGGCCCTCCTGTCCTTGGCCTTGAAGGACATGCTGGCTCCAGAGCTCTGGTGACCAGAAATGAATGCTGTAGAGTGAGCTGGTGACCAGTATCGTGGGTAGTAATGTCATTTCATCACTGGGAACAGAAACCGACTACCACTAACCCAAGTAAGATGGGGACTTTACTAGAAGGACACAGAATTTTCATAGAACTTCAGGATGGGAGTTGAGCTGGACATCACAAGGGACTGGAAATCAAACACTGGAAAGCTGGGCACAAAGATGAACACTGCTCCCATAATTCTGTCTTCTCTTATCCCTTCTCCCCCCTCTTCCCTCCAGTATCTCCCGCTTGTGCACTACCAGCTTCAACATCCTGCTCACATGCCTAACCTAATTGTAGGTTTACAAGCCATTTCTAGCTCGACATGAAAGAGACCAATTGGAGCTCCATTTGTGACCAAAGTCCATGCATGAGAGACTCTCAGCCTGTTTGGGTTTGAGATAGATCTACTTCAGTTTGCTATGCCAATGAGTATGGAGCATGGGGCTCAGTGCCCACTCAGCAGGGGCTCTGGGAGCAGATGGTCTTGCACAAGGATGTGCTATGGGTGCAGTCCTCAAGGCTATTTTGGTTGCAAGCAGAAGCCTTCCCTGGCTAGTCAAAAGAATGTTTTGAAAATACACAAGGATTATCTCCTGTAATCAAAGGAGCAGGTCCTGGTCCTCAGCAAATGGTGCCAATAGATCCTTTCTTTAGGGCACAGCCACTTATGTGACTGTTCTAAGGGCTATCTTCTGTGTTTTCCTGTGCCATATTTTAAATTCCTGGAGGTGGGGGAAGACTATAAAGGGCCTGGTTTAGGATGTGTCCATTTCTGGACTAATCTGTTTTACAGGGGACAAGATAGTATGAGCAACCTGTCCCCCTTTTCCCAGGACTATCCCAGTGTAAGTGTCAAAATTCTAGTGTCCTGGCATCCATCTCAGTCTGGGCAAACCAGGACATTTGGTTACCTAAGAACATGGTCACATGTACATGGTATATGACCCTTTAAGGATTGCCCTATATATTAGGGGCATTCCTACAACAAACAAACAACTGTGGTGAGCTATATGGAAACATTTCATTGAGTCCCTGTTACATTCCACTTCTTGATGGATGGGGGGTGGGGGGAGCCCGTATGTGGGTACACACACACACACACACACACACACACCCCTTCTCGTTCTTTCAAGGACACACCTCTCTGCTCCATGATTTGGTTATTTCACACACCACCACAAAGGGACTGCTCACCTCCCTGAGGTGGGCAAATGAGAATTTGTGCCCTTCTACTCCATCCAGAGCTTATGCGTGCCCTGTAGGTATATACTTTCTACATGCTGTCCATTGTTTCTTCTCTTCTGTGACAATCCTATCTGTACATATCGCAACATACCCTGCTGCTGACAAAAGCAAAAAAAAAAAAAAAAAAAAATTGTCATACTTATTTTTCCTTAAAAGGAAAAGGGGGACTTGGTGTATAAGAAACTAATTATTAAACACTAGTAGCAAGTAAAACAGCCATAGAGGTGACCATCCTCATCAGTGGCTGGTAATGAAGCTTCCTCCTCCTCAGCGCATTCTATGGGGCTCTGGGGTTTCAGCTGGCATTTCGGTTGGTTGGGGGTGATTTGCCCAATGTGGTGATCTGAGGGGTAAGAGCCCTGGCAGTCCTGCCTTAAAGGACCCGATCAGTGTTTTTCTGCATCCTCGATGCAGTCCCTTGGCTCCTCCATAACCCCCCCTCCCATGCAGCACTCTCCCCTCTCCCCAGCTTCCTGATGCAGTCCACCAGCTCCTCCAAACAGTCCCCGGTGCAGCTGACCTTCGCCGGCGCTCTTTCCCTACACCCCCCCCCCCCCCCCGGGCTCCCCGGTGCGGCCGGGCTCTCTCCGACGTTCCTCTGTCCAGCAGGTCCTCCCACTTCTTCCGATCTCCAGCTCGCACTAGTCGCTCTCGGCCATCACCTCCTGCCTTCGCCTCACCGGCCCCTCTTCCCCAGCGCCGCGCTCCCTGCCCAGCACGGCCCCGGCCCCGGCCGCTCTGTGCTGTGCGTCACCTTCCACCGGGCAAACGGCGTTCCTCGTCTGGGCCCCGCAGGGTGCCATTGCTGCCGCCAGCCCACCAGCCTGCAGCCCAGAAAACCAGCAACCGACCCGCAACCTCCCTCCGTGCTCCAGCCGGGGTCCGGGGGCGGGACTTCCGTTCCCGCGCGCGGACGCCTTCCGGCGCGAGGCGGAAGCCTGCTCCGAGTGCGCCCCGGGGCCAGAGCGTCCCGGGTGCGGGTCCCCTCAGTGGACGCGTCTCAGCCCCGCTGCCGCTGCCGCCGCCGTCGCCGCCGCCACCGCGCCCCGCGCTGCGGGACGGGGAGATCGGGTAGGGACGGGGGCGCCGGGGCGCCTCGCGCGGGCAGAGGACGACCGAGCACGGTCGGGACGCGGGAGGGGGTGCCGTGAGGGGCGGGGAGCGCCTGGGGCGGGGGTAGCGGGTTGGGAGGGGTCTGGGCGCCCAGCCCGCGTAGCCTCGCCGCGGGTCAGGGCTGGCTTCCTGACGTGTGTGTGGGTTTGGGTAGGACACCTGACGTTCCGGGGACAGTTGAAGTCTCCGTTAGCCGAGTCCACCTTGGGATGGTTTCTTTGTCAGAGGAATTTAGTCACCTTCCTCCCGTCGGGGGCTCGGACCCCAGGCTCCACGTGGACAGTCGCCCACGCCCCCGACGGACCGCAGCGCTTGGAAGCCGCCCGCGGCTCTCCTACTGGAACCCTCTCTGCCCGCAGAGTTTAGATCGCGCAGTTTCCGCTGCCCCGAGCGAACTCGTGAACGCGCTTGGATCCAAGAGGGTCGCATGGGTGCTGACCGCCGCGTCTGTGCTCAAACTCTTCGGGTTCAGTTACCCGGTTTAACCAGTGAGGACGCTAGATAAAGGTGCAGCCAATCACGTCCGGCTCCTAGGGTTCGCTGCCACACGGCCACCGACTGTGTCAAATGTCACTGACCCAAGGGGTGGTGTCACACTCGCAGTAAATGTTTGTGACCCGAGGAGTGGTGTCACACTCGCAGTAAATGTCACTGACCTGAGGGGTGGTGTCACACTCGCAATAAATGTCACTGACCCGAGGGGTGGTGTCACACTTGCAGTAAGTGTCCCTGACCCAAGGGGTGGTGTCACACTCGCAGTAAATGTTTGTGACCCAAGGGATAGTGTCACACTTGCAGTAAATGCCTGTGACCCGAGGGGTGGTGTCACACTGGCAATAAATGTCACAGACCGGAGGAGTGGTGTCAACACTCGCAGTAAATGTCACTAACCTGAGGGGTGGTGGTGTCACACTCGCAGTAAATGTTTGTGACCCGAGGGGTGGTGTGACACTCACAGTAAATGTCACTGAACCTAGGGGTGGTGTCACACTTGCAGTAAGTGTCCCTGACCCGAGGGGTGGTGTCACACTTGCAGTGTTTGTGACCCGAAGGATGGTGTCACACTTGGAGTAAATGCTTGTGACCCGAGGGGTGGTGTCACACTGGCAATAAATGTCACAGACCCGAGGAGTGGTGTCACACTTGCAGTAAATGTCCCTGACCCGAAGGGTGATGTCACATTCTCGGTAAATGTTTGTGACCTGAGGGGTGGTGTCACATTCGCAGTAAATGTCCCTGACCCCAGGGGTGGTGTCACACTCACAGTAAATGTAACTGACCTGAGGGGTGGTGGTGTCACACTCGCAGTAAATGTCCCTGACCCGAAGGATGGTGTCACATTCACAGTAAATGTCCCTGACCGAGGGGTGGTGTCACAGTTGCAATAAGTGTCACGAACCCAAGAGGTGGTGTCACACTCGCAGTAAATGTCCCTGACCCGAGGGGTGGGATCACACTAGCAGTAAATGACCTTGATCAGAGGAGTGGTGTCACACTCTCAGTACATGTCCCTGACCCAAGGGGTGGTGTGGTGGTATCACACTTGCAGTAAGTGTCACGGACCCAAGAGGTGGTGTCACACTCGCAGTAAATGTCCCTGACCCGAGGGGTGGGGTCACACTCGCAGTAAATGACCTTGATCAGAGGAGTGGTGTCACACTCGCAGTAAATGACCCTGACCTGAAGGGTGGTGTCACACTTGCAGTAAACACAGGTGGTTTTTCCAGTGACAGGGGAGGGGCGCGGCAGCTTGTTTGTCAAGTGGCCTGACGGGCACTGATCAATGGTGCTAGAACGTACCATGGTCATTGGGGCCTCAGTGTCTTCTGGCTTATAGATTCCTTATCTCCCCCCCCCCGTTTTATTGGGGTGTAATTGACGGATAAGAACTGTGTTTTTAAGGTGCACTATGTCATACACCTGATACATGTTGTGAGAGGACTGCTGCAGTCAGGTCAGGCCGACGACACTTTATCACCTCACATGTGTAACCACCTTTTTCCATGTGGCGACAACACTTAAGGTCTGTCCGGGTCCAGATTTCAGACTATGTGTTAGTCATGCTTATGAACTCCTGATGGACGAAATTCATTGGTACTTGAGTTAGCTGTAAGTTCCTTGTATTTCGGGACACAGCTGATGTTTCCAAGTGGAAAGCAGTGTCTAAGAATGAACATCAAGCAGAGTAAGTTTCAAACTGGAGAATGAAAGAAAGGCGTGAGCTTTGTAGTTACCGTGTTGATTGCACGTGGATTTCTCTGTATATCTTAATTTAGTCCTTTTTTTTAGGTTAGGCAGCATTCTTTTTCTGAGAAGGCTTGTTCTGAATTTTCCACAAAACCTTGGTTTAAAAAATATATTCTAGGGGCGCCTGGGCGGCTCGGTTGGTTGAGCATCTGACTTCGGCTCAGGTCATGATCTCACGGTTTGTGGCTTCGAGCCCTGCGTAAGGATCTGTGCTGACAGCTAGCTCAGAGCCTGGAGCTGCTTCAGATTCTGTGTCTCTCTCTCTATCTGACCCTCCCCCACTCATGTTCTGTGTGTGTGTCTCTCTTTCTCAGAAATAAATAAAAAACATTAAAAAATTTTTTAAAAATGTATTCTTCCCCCCTTCCCATGGTTTTAGGGAGGTAAAACACTTGAGAAAGTATGCAGATCTTTAGTCTTTAGTCGCGGTGGAGGAAGTGCTTATAATTGAAGCACAAGAGCCCGCCCTCTATGGCCAGTTTCTGGTCACATGTCTGAATATGTTTGAAATTTGCTCTGTGTTCTGGATAGTCTTTGGGATTTTTCTTTGTTTTAATTGCTGAGTTATCCTATGTGGGATTCTATAGGATTTAAATTCATTTTACAGCTCAACCAATAGTGGAAATGTTTTAATAGGATCAGGTAAATTACTAGTTATTCTTAACAGATTTATGACTTATATTTGTTTCTGCTGTGGCAAAATATGTAGCTGTGCAACAGTGGGGATACCCACTGAGATGGCGATGGCCCAGACGGCACTCATATTCATGTATTTACACATTGTGTTTTCCAGAATCGCCTGTTTGTAATATATGCAGTACTTTGCTGTATTGGGTTTTTTGGCTCCGTGTCTCTGTCAGCTTTATAATTACATAGTCCACTCTCCATCACCACATACCCTGTTAGAATGATGCTATGGATACCAAGGAGAGCGCTGATCTGCCGACTTGTCCAGCTGCAGTGCCTGTAATGCAAGCATGGCTGTTGCCAAGATTAGCTGAGGCATCGTGTACCCCTTCTTTCAGCAGGACTTTCTGCCCCTTTTGCACTGCTGATTTAGACCTTTCCTCTCAGGGACTGAGGTGACCTTGGCGTCAGGCAAAAAGGCTCTTGGTATAGCCTCCTTCGTTCTGCTGAGTTTGATCCCATAAATCTTGGCAGATTTTCTACCCTCTTGACATATAGTTATGGCTGCGAACCATTTGTTTCCATTGTTATTGTTTAAAACACAGTTTCAATACTAAATCGTGATTGGTCGGATTATATAAATGGACTCCACTTAATTTTGCTTGGAGGGAGGCATCAGATTAAATTATACAGGAACCGTTCTATTGAAGTGATACAGTTACAAATACTACAGAAAATACACTGATTGTCATTAATCTTTGTTCTTGTTATGAGTTTTGTTTGTTGGTTTTAGTTTGAGATCCTCATGAAAAGAAAACCTGAGGTGGGGGAGGGGATGTTAGAGGTAAGAGGTGTGGGAAAGGGGATGTTAGGAGTAAGAGTTGTGGGGGAGGGGATGTTAGGAGTAAGAGATGAGGGGGAGGGGCTATTAGGAGTAAGAGATGTGGGGGAGGGATGTTAGGAGGTGATGGTGGGGGCTTTCTGCACTGGTTGTAGCTCACATTGTTTACAGTTATCAGTGCTTGGTAATAGTAAAAAGCAGAAAGATGTAGTTGGCTTTATTATTGTTTTAAAACCTGCAGACAATGCACTCCTTTACTGAGTGGGGGAGGGGCAGCGAGAGAAAAGAACACTTCTGATTAAAGTAGAATGCTCCTATGAAATCTGTTCCCGAGTACACCTGCTACGTTGATCTTTCTTTCCCAGCAAACAGTTATTGGTTCCAGTTCGCTCAGTGCTTGAGCTGGAAAGTACCGTGGGAGATACTCTGACATGACACCTTGAATGGTGGTGAATGTTGACCAGTCCACGAGAGGCAGGCTTCAATTTCCAGACCTCTGCAGGCTCAGCAGCCTCTTATCGTCCTGACAGGGGTTATAATTCCTGTGTCTGTCTGTTACGTGTTCTCATTTGATCTCAGAACAAGCAGGGTTCTTCCTTAGACCTGCCTGAACTCGGCTTGCGCCCATTCAAGTCACCTCTTCTTAACTTGCAGTCCTTGCTTATCGAAAAAAGCTGGACAGCATCCTTTTTAAGAACACTTATCCTGTTCTGTAATAAATACCTTGTTAACCCCTTGGGTAAGACTGTCTGTACCTTTAGGATTCCTACTTAAAAAATACTTTCTCTTTGGTCTGTTCACAGGGCCTTATGTTGATTGATCTTTCAAGATGCTAGGTTTCTCAAGTGTGGTGAGCAAAGCTTAGAAGAGTCTGACTCTTCTAAACAATCATTTGTGTGTAAATATTTACAGAGTGCTTTTCTTATGTAGTCACTTGGTCCTTAGGCAGGACAGGTAGTATCCACATGTCAGAGACAGAAGCCCTGAGCTACAGTAAGGTTAGGTGACCAGCCCGATGATGATTTCTGGAACGAGGTGTTGGACCTGCGATGCAGCCCCAGGCCGTTATCCGGACTCACCTATTCAACTGTGTCTCACTCTTAGGTCCTTGTATATCAGGTATTTATAAATGTATTTTGGAGCCCCTTTGGCTTTCTCATTTCTTCTCCCTTTTCACCAAACTAACTTGTCCCTAGGGAGATAAGTTGCTGACTCAGCTTAATTGTTTTCTTCTGCACTTAAAATACTGTCTTTGCAGGATTAGCGTGAACCTGTGGCAGCTGTTTAATGCAGTCTTCTGCCTAATCGGGATACTCTCATAACCCTTTCCTTCCCAGAGTTTTTATGGCCCTTGCAGGAATACTTAGAGTAACAAGGTGTTCACTTCTTTCTGGTGGTTCATTGTTGGGTTATTCTTTTACTTAGATCCAAATTACCAGTTGTGGTAATATGTGTTATATCATCCAGAGCAACACTGAAGATCTGTTTTCTCTTTGCAATGTAAAATTTTTTCATATATTTAAGGATAACTGTCTCTTCTCCAGGTTAAATAATGCCAATGCCTCCATTTCTCACCATCTTGATCATCTTATTCTGGCCCCACTAAGTTGTCCGTATCTTGAAAATATGGCTTCCCTAATTGTCTACACTATTTTATTTTATTTTTTAAATGTTTATTTTTAAGAGAGAGAGAGAGAGCACAAGTGGGGGAGAGACAGAAAGAGAGGGAAACACAGAATCTGAAGGATGCTCCAGGCTCTGAACTGTCAGCTCAGAGCCCGATGTGGGGCTCGAACCCATGACCTGTGAGATCACGCATGACCTGAGCCAAAGTCAGAGACTTAACTGACTGAACCACCCAGGGACCCCTGGCTACACTATTTTAGATGTCCAATCAAGGCAGCAACTATGGGGACTATTCCTTCCTCTAAAGTGGACACCTACTATCATATTATTGCACATTCAATATTATTGAATTCCAAAATTACATTAACACTTAAATGGGTACATCTTGCTCTTATAGTAAGCATTTGGTAAACCACAGCTCTCAAAATTTTTATGGCAAATCTGTTAGTCTGCTCCCTCTACCCGTACAGCTGGTTTTTGAACTGATCTACAAGACTACGTTTACGGGGCGCCTGGGTGGCTTAGTCGGTTAAGTGTCCGACTTTCGCTTAGGTCATGATCTAAAGGTTCGTGGGTTCGAGCCCCGCGTCGGGCTCTGTGCTGACTGCCAGCTCAGAGCCTGGAGCCTATTTCAGTCTGTGACTCCCTCTCTCTCTGACCCTCCCCTGCACACGCTGTCTCTCTCTCTCTGTCTCCTAGAAATAAAAAAAAAAAGAAAAGAAAAGACTTTACGTTTATTCCTGTTAAATTTTATCCTGACTAGTTTTCAGAAGCCCAACATTCAGAAGTCAAACAGCCTGTAGTGATCTGTTTCGGTCTCACTTATCCTTTTCAGCTTTGTCTTTTATGTTTATAATACTTATTCCTTAATGCTTGTGTTGAGTCAGGGCTGGCTTTGATTATAATTAAGTATCTAATGCTCCTTGTAAGGCTTGGAGGTAGATCACCTACAGGTAATTTGTACCAGGTTTTCTGTGGAGAAGTGTGACAAGTAATAGTTCTCTGGATCTGGTACCCTTATTCCCTGGAAGACCCAAGAATTACAGTCCATCCCAGAGTGTGTGTTGGATTTTCTGTTCCCTACCATTCACTTTTACACGTGTGTCTCTAAAGAATGGAGAAAAACAATCATTGGAATTGTGTTCTGCCATACCTGACTCTTTCTTAGCCCTCCAGACAGAATGTTGCTACTTAAACCTAGAATAGTTGAAGCCTTGATTTAAAAAAGCATCTGAGATCTGCCATATCTTATGTTAACGATTTTGCTTGAAGTTCATCTTTGAACTGTGTATGAACTCTTACCCAACTGCCGTGAGCTATAAAAAAGATTTTAAAAAAGACTTATAGAGGGAAATGATAATAGATGTTCTTGGAAACTACGCTTGCCAATGGCCTCAGTCCATTATTGTAATAGAGATATACAATTATATCCATGGATTATGTGTAGATCGACATAGATTGTATGTAGAGATTATTTTCATTTTCAGTCAATGTGAAACCTTTAAATCCCAAACCAGTAATCTCTCATAGACACATTTTTAAGCTTTAGTTCAAATCTTAGTTTTTTATCTCCGTATTTTTAACATTAAGGTGGTTTATAGCTAAGTCTAGATTTGAGGAAAGTCTATCATTTGTGAGATTAATTCTGTATGTATTAGATGGCAAATGGGGAGTGAGACATGAATTAACTGAGATTTTATTGAGTCAGCAGCATGGCTGCAGAGGAGTAGTTCAGGATGCCTGGTTTTCAGAAGTGGTGTCACGCATGCGCTGTGGCTGGGTGAGGGGCTTGTTCCAGCAGACGGCAGACATGGTGGACAGATCCCTCTCAGCTTCCGTTGCTTAATTCCCGCTGTGGTAGGTCCTTTTGTGAAACTAGAAATGGCTGTGATCTGTGGCCTCCAGGCCCCTTTCCAGCTCTGACATTCTATAGCTGTCCCGTCTGGTCGTCACCAGCCTCATGCGGCTACACGGAGCCTTACTGCACGTGCCCAGATGCCACATGTGGCAGTGGTTACATCAGACGGTGTGGGAAATGTCCTGGTGGACGCTGTTCTAGACCTGCTCTGTATAAAGCCAGGGACAGATCCTGGTAACACAATTTTAATGTGGAAAATGGACTCATTAGGAGAGCCTTTGTGTTTGGTGCACAGGGACAGTTGCCTCAGTGACACTGCGAGTCACTTCCCCAGCATCTGGGAGTAGTCGCAGAGACAGACACGGTGTGCTGGAGGGTCTAGACATCCTAAGCACTTGGTTTTCACAGCCCTTTCTTGTGTCTGTTATACAGCAGAAACTGCACCTGTATTGTGAGATCTGTGTACTTGAAAAACGGCTTAGGAGAGCCAGGTACAGTAGCTTTGAACTTTTGAAATGCATCACATCTGTGTCCAGAGTGGACAAGAGTGGTGTCTGTGTTCGGGGAATTTGGCCAAACAGGTATCTTTAGTTTAGACCAGTGATTTTTAACTTGTCAGAGCCAACACTCTTTTTATAACAAATATTTCATAATTCCTCCTTTACTAACCTGAAATGAATTTATAGGTACAGTGTAACTACTTACGAACCTGATGGCAAAGAAATAAATGAATGTAATTTCTAACTAGATATAAAGGAGGAATAAAAATAAAATAATTAAAAAATATATTTTTAGTATGTGTGTGTTTGAAACATTCCAGATGGTCAGTGTGTTCTGCCTATATCTGGCATTACCGTGAATGAGACGGTTACAGATGCAGACCTGTGCTAAGTTGTACTTAACATACGTGCTGCCATTGAGGTGATTTTCCAAAATGGTGAACAACTTGGTAAAATTCAGAGAATAGTTAGGTATGGTCTTGTCTTGGCTTCAAAGCAGTTTCATTTGGAGAAAATTTGGTGATTACTAAAAGTATGAGAAAGATCATTTGTATTTTTATGTTAAGTGGAGTTACACTCCAGGCTTAGAAATTTAGACATGTTTTCCACCCACATGTATTTCTGGTGTGATATTAAAAACGCAGAGGGGCGCCTGGGTGGCTTAGTTGGTTGAGCATCTGACTCTTGATTTTGGCTCAGGTCATGATCCCGGGGGTCATAGGATCGAACCCTGACTCGGGCCCCATGCTGTGTTTCTTTCTTTCTTTCTCTGCCCCCTCCCCCACTTGTGTGCGCTCTTTCTCTCAAATTAAAAAAAAAAAAAAAAAAAAAGAGACAGAGTCCAGCCTCAGTATTAAAGAATGTTGTGATTTATTAATCATATCTGCCATGGGTAGAAGGGAGAATGTCTGCGTAGGACTTGCCACATACTCCATCTCTGTTCAGTGGGTCGTGACACCTCCGCCCCAGGGGGTTTGGAAATAATGCAGGAAAGGTTTTGGTTGTCAGAGTGACGGGTGTGTGTGTGTGTGTGTGTGTGTGTGTAGTTTACACTTAATGTTTGGGAACCGGGATGCTGAAGGAGCCACCAGTGCTTGAGACAGCTGTACATAATGGGAAAATATCCCACCCAGAAATCCTGCTGTCCCTCATTGAGGAACACTGTCTAGCTTGGAGAAGAGTCTAATTATGGTAACTGTCCTGCGCAGGATGGGCACTGGGACTTAAACAGAGACCAGATCTCTGTTTGTCAGAGATATTGTTATAGGTATCTTGGCATTGAGTGGGGTATTGTACCATACTATCTCCAGGGTTTTTTCCAGCTCTCTGATCACCTAAGTTAAGTCAGGGGTCAGCAAACTACACCCCTCGGGCTAAATATGGCCTTTTTCAGTAAATAAAGTTTTATTAGAACTCAGTTCTGCTCATTCATTTATATATTGTCGTTGGCTGCTTTGGAGCTGAGTAGTTGCCATGGAGACATTATGGCCTGCAAAGCCTAAATTCTACTGGCCTCTTTACAGGAAAAGTTTATAGATACCACCTGTCAGAAATGGTGTTTGAATGGCACCAGTGTGTGAATTGATGTTACTACATATGTGATTCTCAGATCCTAGTAGTTTTCTGTGTGTAGTGATTCTGAGGTCTTTTCTGCGTCCCTGTGACACTGAAGACTAGCCACCAGATGGACCAACAGTAAAACTTGGAGCAATTCTCAGCTTGAATTGGCACGTCAGTAAGTAGTCCAAGGTCTATGCCAGTTTCATGTGGTTCCTCAGCTTTTGGGATCAGGCTGATTGTTGGTTTCATCACCGTGGCGATATGCTAACTGGTACTTAAATACTTTCAAAGCCATGACAGTGAGAAATAAATTGCATCTCACAATCTTGTGAAATCAGTTTTGGAGCTTAAAAATTCCACATAGGGAACGTCACTGTTCTTTTCCCTCCTATGGATTTTAATAAAGAAAAGTTGGCATCGTGCGGAAAGTACTAACTTAACAAAATAACCTTCTGAGCACTGAATTAAGATACTTCAAGTACTTTAAGGAGGTTAGAAGAAAAGGACATCTGTTAACCCTTACTCTAAAAAGACAAAAAAGGTGTGCCTAGGTGGCTCAGTCGGTTGAGTGTCCAAGTATGGCTCAGGTCATGATCTCATTGTGTGAGGGTTCAAGCCCTGCGTCGGGCTCTGTGCTGACAGCTGGGAGCCTGGAGCCTGCTTTGGACCCTGTGTCTCCCTCTCTCTCTGCTTTCCCCCAGTCGTGCTCTGTCTCTCTCTCAGAAATAAACTTTAAAAAGCAAAGAAAGAAAGAAAGAAAAATGCCTGTTTTGAGTCTTTTGGTATGTTGGTGTATTGGGGTTCTCCAGAGAAACAGCCAATATGGGATATGTGTGTGTGTGTGTGTTTTAAAAGAGATTTATTTTAAGGAATTGGCTCATGAAATTGTGGGGATTAGTAAATCCAAAATCTGTAGGGCAGACTGAGAGGCTGGAAGGAAGGTCAGGCAAGAGTTGATGCTGCATTCTTGAGGCAGAATTCTTTTTTCTCTGGGAAACCTGTTTTTGGTCTTAAATCCTACAGCTGATTAGATGAGTCCTACCCACACAATCGAGGGTAATCTCCTGTATTTAAAGTCAATTTAGTGTAGATATTAACCACATCTACACAATACCTGAACTGCAACACCTAGATTAATGTTTGGTTAACTTACTATATCCCAACCAAGTTGGCCCATAAGACCAGCTATTGGTATTTAAAACACATTTTGGTATATTGTATATGTGGTATATAAAGTACTGCGTAGTGAGTACTAATTACTGTATTTGTAAACCAGTAGTCTCTAAGGGATTACATGGGTCTTCATTCATGTGTCAAATAAAAACAAAAAATGGACAGTTTAATCAGCATTGTCACCCTTTGAAATTTGAAAGTTCCCTTTTTTTGTGTGGTTTTTATATGTTTATTTAAATTTAGGGTGCCTTGAATAATTTAAAAATTTTATGGCAATTCTTTTAATAAGTTAATGTTGATGTTAACCTTCTTGTATAAAAAAATTCTTAGAGTTGGGAATTAGTTTTGAGCTTATTTAGTCAAATTCTCTTCATTTGTGGTTGGGAAACTGGTCCCAGGAAGATGGAGTGATTTTGCCCAGGTAATACAGTGAATATAAAAGAACCATCATTAAAAGCCGGATCTGGTTTCCAATCCAGTGCTTTTTCTGCTTTGAGAATGATTACAAGTTAAGTAAAACTAGTAAAGGGATTTTCTGAAGAGAGAGTGATTTTGAGTCTGTACTTAAGGGACTGATTGTGAACTGATAGTTAAGAGAATGGAGATGATACTCAGACCATTCGCTGGCCCTGGGGGGAGGGTGGGTGGAGAGAAGTGGGTGTGTCATAAGGTGTGTACGGTTGGCAGCATATTCACTAAGGGCACACATTGACTTGTGCTACCCATGAGGCTTGAAGAGATTTTACCAGTGCAAGCTAGTCATTGGTTGATTCACAGGGGATAGTCCAGAGACCTAAAGTAGACAGAACATGTGGTCTAAAAGACCGCTACTGGGAGAGCTTTCTTTAGCGAGGAGGAACAGAGGATAGAGGAACAGGGAGCTGTTGGAAATCCCCTAGAAGGGAATTTTAAGGCTTCCATGGGGCATAGAGATAAGATTATAGGATGAAAATGGATCCTTTAAAGGTTGCCTGGTTTGAGGCATGATCTGAGTTTACTTCCTTACCTGCAAAATAAGCGTAATAATTCCCATTGCACAAAGTCCCTAGAGGGAGTGAAGGAGATGATGTACGTAATGTGGTTATACGCCTGGCACGTAGTACTCAAAAGTGATAGCATTTTTTATACTACATCATGGCAGCTGGCTGAGGGTCTTATCAGAAGGTATGCTTAGAGTGAGAGCCTTTTTTTCCCCTTTTTAAAATTCCCCTGTCATTTATTCTAGCTACTTTATGCCACCTTACAGTTCTTCAGTGTGGTTTCTCCTCTCAGGTTTCTTATTTTTAGGCAGGTGTATGTATCTCTGACTATGTAGAGTACTTTTTTCCCCTCTGTGATCAGCAGCCCTGGTCTTTTTGAATAAGCTATGCACTTTGTGGGGAGTTGTACTTCAATTGCAAATTTCATTTAATTAGATTGAAAAGATGTACTTAAATATGGCACTATTTCCAATTATTATTATTATTTGCATTTTAGAATATAACTACAAAGGTAACAGTTGGGAAAGGGAATGGAAGGTACAGGATTTTGAAGTAACTTTTCCCTTTCCTTTTCAAAGGGTCATTTCCTTCAGGTTTTAAGTAAAAAAACAAAATGAAATATTTCAAGGATGCCAACTCCACAGAGAAGGAATTTAAAAAGACATTTTCTGTGGTAATTGCATCTTAAGATGTAAGAGCACTTCAGGATATAGGCTCAGCAGTAATTAAATAACAGATTTTTTTTCACTGTATGGGATCAAATATGAGATTACTAGATCTGAGGCATAGAGTATCTGCCCCAGTTTTATTGTATAATTATCTTTGAACTGGACCTTGGAACATTTCACTTGTGTTCAGAACATTGGTAGGATATGCTTTTGACTCAGTAACTTGACGTATTTAATTTAATTCCAAGGAGCCTTTGTGACACATGGAGATCTGTTGATAAGCGCTCTCTCTGCAACCCCTGGGGCTAGAAGAGACCTTCCAGCACAAGTTTGTAGGCTGGGTTAAATTTAAATTGAGAAGTTTGGTGTGTCTACATTTGCAAGCAGAGTTTGGAAAGGTTGAAAGAGATCCGTCGGTGTAGGAAGTACATTTGAAAAAGTTTCTTTGGGGCACCCGAGTGGCTAAGTTGGTTAAACGTCTGACTTCTTGGTTTGGGCTCAGGTCGTTATCTCATGAGTTGTGAATTGGAACCATACATTGGGCTCTGTGCTGTCAATACGGAACCTGCTTGGAATTCTCTCTTTTTCCCTCTCTCCCTCTCTGGCCCTC